ACATGCAGATAGTCAGTTGTGTAATTAACACCTACAAAAGGGATCCTGATAAAATGAATACCTCATATATACACATATACAAAATACATGACTTTTACAAGTCATGTCGCTAATTGTAGCACATAAAAATTAAGAAAGTTTAAGCATAAGAAGCGTGAACATAATCTTTACATGGGAGACCAGGAGCCAAAGATCAAGAGAAACAGTTTCATAAGTAAGAGTTATCTCCCTGACAGACCTTAGCTCTAGTGGGATGCACTTGCTCTATGACTGTGGTGCCTTAAGCAACAAAGTGATTTAACTGTTTAAGTGTTTACAAACACTAACCTAAGAACTGTTTTTAATATACTTTATTGTCAGTTGATCTGAGAAGGGCTGAATTAACACATTTAGCACAGTGCCAGCAGTCCCTTCGCTTCAGTCAAAGCGGAGCCTGGCAGAAAAGCTACCAATGAACCAGGAGATAAAATTAAGGTGCAGTAGTTATTCCAAGGGGAGCGGAATTATCTGCTGTGCTAAATACTCCAATAGTTTTACTTAATTCATTTCTAGAGAACTTGGAATGCTAAGATAGTAAAGTGATTCTTAAGAAGGCAGCTGGCCGCGCACACGGAGCTCATCCGCTCCCTGCTCTCCGCTAGAGCGCCACATCCGGAGGTGACACCAGAGCTCCCCTGCCCGGGCGGACGGGCTGGGTGTTCTCTGTCGGGCACAGCAGCAGCAACCACCTCATGGCAAATGGCGAGGACTGAACGGAGACACCACCCAGGGAACACACAGCGGCTGCTCATCACTGAACCTCCTCATCTCAGCCCCTGGTACCTGAAAGAGACTTGGGAGAGGAGGTCTCCAGCAGCCCCCCCACTGGAACAGAAAAGTGTGCAGGGAGCCTAAGGATGGTGTTTTTCTAGTCCAGCCTTCCATAAGCCCCGTGGGTAGGCAGTTCTTGGAGCAGGAGTGAGTCTCATCTCATTTACATCAGGTATTTTTTCATCTTTCCTCTCATTTGCTGTTTGTAATTCATATCTCCTTCATCGACACATCAACTTATTTTGTGCCAGCCAGTGAAGCTACCTTGGCAGATCATCCAGATCTCAATGAAGTCACTGGAATAACTTCTGTTGACTAAATGGGACTATGATTTCTTCCTGCCTCTGTTTGTTTACTGGTAATCTTAAGAGAGAAATTCTAACTGCTTCCACCACACAGCAGAGCAGTTGGAGGCACTTTCCACAGCTCTATAATGCAGACAGTTGAAGCAAAGCTGAGCTTTCCATAGTGTGGGAAGTAGCTGACTGGGTTAAGGGGACAGGACCATGGTGGACATGATGAACATGAGAAGAATCAAGATTTACTGAACCACTGTTCCTCTATCCATGGCGTATACACCACCAGTGCCAAAACAGCAGGTGCTTGAAAAGATCCAGATCCAGGGTTAAGGACTCTGTTAATATTAAAAACTGTATGATTTCAGGGGAAGGTCCGTGATTTCAGGATTTTCTTTTATGTTTGCCCTTATTAAAAGACATGAGGAACTTACGACTGCACTGCCCAGGCTGAGACAAGCTATGCTCATCCTGAACAACCGTAAAGTGAACAGCCAAGGATCAACCTGAATTTTCTGCAACACAGGGGTTCAGAATGCTTACAAGGTAGAAGCCAGATTTTCCCTGATGAAAGGTAAAAAGGGCCAGTCCTAACCAAGACTCATCTCTTAAAATAAAGTGCTTGAACACCAATGTCTAAAACTAGGAAATATTTAAACATCCCAAGCGACAGACAGAGGAGGGAGAGTGCCCCAGAACGCAGCACCTTGACCTCGGTGTTGTGGACTTTGTGTTCAGCAGAGAGCTCCTGCTGTTACCTCAAATTTCATCCCCTCAAGTAACTCGAGGACCAGATTTTCTTATATTTAGATTATAAGATTCTGATGTCTTCTGGTTTCAAGATTTCCTGTGGGTGTCATATCCCACCTAACACATTGTCAGCATGTTCTTGCTTTCTGAATACCTCATCTACGGACATGAAATTAACTTGGCATTTTTGTTTGCTCCAAAGCAGAGATTTCACACCTGTGATCACATTGCCAGGACATGTTCCCTATTCCCTTTGCTGTGCAATAAACAAAACATGTTAGGGCTGGTATTTCTGAAGCCTGGCTTTCTTTAGCTGATCTGATGCCTCTCTACTTGGCATAAGCAAATACGGAATGAGTCATGACCATGTAGTAAAGCTCTGGTCATAGGCAACAAAAAACAATTACCAAGATGACCAAGGCATACATTAACACACAGGTTGCATGGAAGAAGCACGACTTTGAACGAGGTGCAGTGCTTGAGGAGGGCAGCTGATCTGCCCGGCAGGGGCAGTGGCAACCACAATCCCTTAACCTGATCAGACATTGCAGCTTTCTGAACTTGTCCAGCTCTGCAGTAATTTCTGTGCTAGTCCCAGCAACAAGAACCCCAGTAGAGTCACAAAAACAATGCAGTTCAATAGATGCCTTTTGGTGGTGGTGGGTACTCAGGACAAACAGTCTCCAGAAGATCTGAATTTTCAAAGTCTGGAGACTGATCATATGAAGTTCCTTTTTTTTTTTTCCTCAGATCTTTGAAAGACTCTGGTTAGAAAAGGGTCTTTTTTACAGAGAAAACGGCAGATAACATTTGGTCTTTGTCTCAAAACCTGTTCATTCTGCAATGGTTCAAGGCAAACTGTTTGATCCACTGATGTTTGATCCTGTGAGACACAATTGTCCTTGGGAAACTGAAGAGGTAAAAGGCAAAATGCCTCAGGCAGAGATGGAAACAAGGTCCTCTATATCTTGAGAAGGGAATGAATTGTTACAGTGCATAATTACCACTCCATTTAACTCCAGGCCAGGAGGAGGGAAAAAAACCTAGCAACTACTCTGAAATAACAAGGAGATTAAAGGAAGAACCTTCCTTTCCCCACTCCCCATCTTGTTAAAGACACTCAGGCACAGAATCCATGTAATTAATCATTCTCTAATTGGCCTCTTTTTCTGAAAAGGAAAAGCAGCGCCATGTTGCTTAAAATTCCTGCCATACTGATGTGCTGATTCATGGACTCTCAATATTTGTGGAAAATCTCATTATTTCCAGATGTAGAAGTAACAAAAAAACCCTATTTACTATGAAAGAAAGCCTATCCTAAAGCCCTGTGATATGATTGACAGGCTGTGGGCTTCAAGAGAGTGAAAGGTTTCTTATTCACAGAAAAAGACTCAGCTGCCATCAGAACATCAAATTTTAGATGTCACTCCTCCAACTCCTGCCCTGTCTGTGTGGACAAGGTCTTTGGGACAGGAATGTCTATGTGTGTGCATAGCACCTAGCCCAATGAGGAAAGTTACCTCCTCTACTTGCTGGGGGACCCATACTTCTTTGGAGTATACAAAAGGATTGTGCTCGAAGCCAGGTTATGCAACTCATGCCAGCCTTTGTGGAGTACACTTTTATCTTGCCCTATCTGATTAGCAGTGCATTTATTTAGTCTGGTATTGATTCCAACAGCAAGAGACTCCTTTGCAAAGTGTAGAAATACTACAGCTAGAATAGCACTTGGGAAATGTCTTGGGAAAAGGCACAGCAGACTTCGAAGTATCTGTTGGCTCTTCTGGACAGGTCGACAGAGACAGCTAGACCTCTAATGGGTCTGTGGAAATGATATAGGCTGGAGCCTATATGGGAGCAAAATGGGTGCTGTGTGGGAGGCATCTCCCCTGCTGCCCCTGATTTCCCTTACAATCCATTATGGATAAATTCATCCTGGTACTGTCGACAGTGGCAGGAAATATGTCTGGACACTGAAAGATGACAGTCTGTACTGCTAAACTGCAGAAGAGCTCCCGGTACAGGAGTTTTGGTGTGAGTCAGATTAGCCTTTCGCTGAGAAGACTCCCAGGCAGGATTCAGGAGCTTGCATGGGCCAGGGACTGTTCTGAGCAGGCACACGGCTGTGGATGAGTCCTACATGCCCACAAGAAACCTCCCAAGGGTTACAGCCTCCTGGCTGGAGCACTTCCCTACTCTGAGTACGTTCAAGTCTCTATCTCCTACTTCTGCTCAGAGTTCCCTACTCACCAGGCAATGGTACAGCTGGAGCAAGGTGGAGCAGGCAGAAGATGTGGTGTTGGCTGTTCAAAATGCCAGAAACTGGGGCAAAGAGGCTGAAATCTGGTAATGCTC